AATGGGTGATGGGCACTGAGGGGGACACTTGACGGGATGAGCACTGGGTGTCATTCTGTATGTTGGTAAACTGAACACCAATAAAAATTAATTTATTAAAAAAAAAAAGAAGACCACTGTTGACGCTAAGGCCATGTCTCTCAGAACTTGGCCAGTTCTTTCTGAAGTATAATAGCTTACTGTGCTTCACACTGATCTCCTGAAAAAAATCTTCAAAGGATAATAAAAAAAGAAAAAAAATGTAGTCTAAGAATGATCTATTTATATACTTTCCAATGACTAAAGTCTTTTTTTTTCCTAAAGTTACTACTCACCTTTCTTCAGAAAGCATTAAAACTATTCATTGGTTTTGATTCCATGAGAAGTCTGCTCCCATTGATTAGATTGAAGAAGCATCAAGCAATTCTTGAAAATATCACTAAACACCTTCTGAATTAATACCACTTTTGAATGTTTGTACAATGCATGCTTAAAGCAGTGTCGTTCAAATTGTGGTTCCTAGCCTAGCAACATCAGCACCAAACAGGGATATAATAGAAAGGCTAAATTCTGGAGCTTCATTTCAAAATTCCTGAATCAGAACCTTTGGAATGAGACCCAGGAATATCTGTTTAACAATTCCTTTAGAACAGATATTCCGACACTTGCTACAGTTTGAGGATCATTAACCTAAAGCTTGGCTTCTCCTTAGATTACACACACACACACACACACACACACACACACGCTCTTAATATACACACATACATTTATATAATGTCGCATCCAAAGGCCTCTGCTTTTCTCTGTTAATAATACTGAGAAAATAATCTCCTCTCAAACATGAGGATTTTATCATCTTGGAAATACTTTCTGACTGAGTCATTTTGATGGTAATTCTTTGGTGGAAAGTCTGTCTTATATTTCTTAGAAATATATTTTCCTTCTGTCACTACCTCTACTTCTTGGGGAAAAAATATATCTTCCTTTGTGCATTGGTCTTTTCCTTGTAGACTAAAGGTCCATTGTTAGCTAGGAAGACCACAGAGGCAAAATGCCTGACTCATCACATCAAGCCAAGTATTTATGCGGCATCAGTAGTGATACTGAACTTGATCGCTTAGTTAAGGTGCTCTTTGCCAGATTTCTTCCTGTTGTTACTAATTCTCCCCTTCCCTACTTTGTTCTTTACAATTAAGTTACTAAATCCAGACCAGACTTTCATAGGATTTCCAATAACTGAAATTATAAAAAATGCTTTAGTGAATATCACGTATTTCCTTGTGTTATTTAGTGTTTAATAAAAGTAGTTGAAAAGGAATTGAGAGTTACTTCACAGGATAGATACTAAATTGTCTACTAAAATAGCATACCAGTTTGTGGAAATTCTCTTTATTTTATACTGTAGTTAACCCTAAATATTATCAGCATTTTAATTACTTAAATTTAATACCTAAACATTTTATTTACCAAACTAATGGGAAAATGGAAATACCATAAGTGCCTAATAACGCATTCTCCTCCCATTACTTGTGTGGTATAGATTTACTTGGGATTCTTCATTTATGAATTCTCTCATCATATTTGCCTATTTTTTCTAATAGGTAATTAGTCTTTATCTATTGATTTGCATTATATTATTTTCTATGTACTTTTATTTGCCCGCTGTTTTACAAATATTTTTTCTTTGACTATGAAGGCTTGTATATTACAAAACATACAGAAAATTGAAAATTGTCGACATACTCATAAAAATAATTCCTGACAAGGAAGGAATTTTGGTAAAAGGGTTATGAGATCGAGCCCCGTGTCGAACTCTGCACTCAGAGGGGAGTCTGCTTGAAGATTCTTTCTCTCTGCCCCTCCTCCTCTCTCTTTTCTCTTTCAAATAAATAAATCTTTTTTATAAAAAAAATTTTCTTAGAGTCTGCTTGTAATTGTTTCTCTCTTTTCTAGAATTATAGGAATAAGACAACAAGCTCTGCCTGATATAGCAGGTCTGGGCATGAGTAGCAGCACCAACTCATCTGTTAATCGTAGAAGATGCAATTATAGTTGTAAAGAAAAAAGGCTAACTTCCAGTTATGGAATGAATAAGTCATGGAGATAAAAAGTACAGCACAGGGAATACAGCCAGTGATACCGTACAAAGGTCATATAGGTACTGATGGTAGCTACCCTTGTGGTAAGCACAGCCTAATGCAGGGAGTTTTTGAATCACTATGCTGCACATCTGAAACTAATATAACTTATGTGTTAACTACATTAAAAAAAGAGAGAGAGAAAAGGCTGCATCTCACTTTTTTTTTTAAAGATTTTATTTATTTATTCATGAGAGGCACAGGGAGCGAGAGAGGCAGAGACACAAGCAGAGGGAGAAGCAGGCTCCATGCAGGGAGCCTGACGTGAGACTCGATCCCAGGTCCCCAGGATCACTCTCTGGGCTAAAGGCGGCGCTAAACTGCTGGGCCACTGGGGCTGCTCTACATCTCACTTTTTAAGAAATCCTCCCAAATAAGATGTTTTGTTAGGATTCTCTTAAATCAGCAAAAACAATCTGATCTCCGTCCCAATCCTCTCTGGTGTTTGTCTAGAATGCAAGAACAAAATTACCTTTCTACAGGTCTCCTAAATCCAGCACAGAAATAAAGAAAATGGTAGTCAAGGCTATGTGTCTCAGCTTCATAAGATCATTTTCTTTCCACATTCTCTCTTCCATGTCAATTTTTACTTTTTGTTTTATGAAATAATAAAAATTCTAGCTATATAAAAATGTGGCCATGTAAAGAAATAAATATCTTATTTTTGCAGGTGAGAAACCAAGGAAGTCCCAGATTTTAAGTATAATAATTGTGATGTTTTGTAGTGGCTTCACCTTGATTTCATTTCAATTATAAGTTCTAGGTTATATTGATTCTAATATAAGTATTCAAACCTGAAAGGTGGAGGGAGTGAATGTGATAAATATCTCAGGAGTACCAAGTATAAGATACTTGTGATGTGGTGGCTGAGAAAATTTCCAAATAGAAACACAAACTCTCCCTGTCTTCAAAAATGATACGCAAATGCTGAATGTCTTTAAAGTAGCCAATTCTCAGCCCGGGTGGCTCAGCGGTTTAGCGCCGCCTTCAGCGCAGGGCCCGATCCTGGAGATCGGGGATCGAGTCTCACATCAGGCTCCCTGCTTCTCCCTCTGCCTCTGCCTCGCTCTCTCTCTCTCTCATGATAAATAAATAAAATATTTTTTAAAAATAAAAATAAAGTAGCCAATTCTGCCTGTATGTGCAAGGAAATCTAAGGTAAGTAAGAAGAATGCTAGCTATTAAAGTTTCTTTGAAAAGGAAGAAAACTTAAGATTACCAAACAGGATACATTTGCTGTTACTCAGTAAAACTAGCATTGATTAAAAAAAAAAAAAAAAAAAAAAAACTCAGGAACCACAGGGAAGAATAGAAGAGGAGGCTAGACTGAAACTCCAGCAGGTAACATTATACAATTTGAGATCACTTGGAAAGAGGCATCGAGTCAGAAAGCAGCTAGCAATAACGATTCTCTCTACTCATCAATGCAGTGCTACATGAAATACAGAAGAGAGAAAGCTAACTTAGAGAATCAGTGTGCTAGACTGAAAGAACAATGGAACATTTCTGATAACTATTTTCAAAATTTGGAGAATCACTTCTGTCTTAGTCATCCATTTAGGGGTGTAAAGATAAATAAGATGCTCCGGCCACATAGCTCTCAGTTAGCCAGGCTTAGAATAGATAAACGCTTGGCACTTTGACAATGGTGAAAAGCAGAGTATTCCTCTTGAACACTGAGACCTGGTCTAACCTTGAACAACACCCTCTTTTGTTGAGGCTCCCTGTTTTTCACTGATCACAACCTCTTGGGATTTCTTCTACTGTGCCAGTCATTTCATTTTTCTCTTTTGAAACAATGAAAATAAATCTCCTTTTTGCTCTGTATTCAGAATTCTCAGATATTTTTTGTAGCTTAATGTGCTGTATGGCTAATTGTGAATCAATAGGAAGGGAACAGAAATGCTGTAGAAAACACCAGCTCATTTCCTTAAAGTCAGATCACTTTGCCCCAGATATTTTTTGCAGCTTTCCTGCTGGATGGGACATGGCAACAAATTGGAATTTTACAGACACATAGATAATAGATAGTTGTTGAATGAGTATGTCAGTTTTCCTCTTGACCACCTCTCATATTTGGGCAGCCATGCAAGAGGAACACATCTGTGAACTCATTGAAATTTGAAGGTTCTTGTTAGATCAGATTACCCCATCCCCTAACTGGTCCTAAGTGAGGCTTTCACTTGCACTCCTGGTCTGTGGAGTCAGAAGAACTTCCTTAAAAAGCTCTTGTTTCAGCCCAGATGTGATGAGTGACTAGGGGTTAGAGAAATGATAATTTCAGATACTTGAATCTATTCAACTAGGTCAGACTTAAAGAGAAAACTAATAAGCACCACTTCTTTTGCTTACTAAACTGAGATGCATACCACTGCATTCCTTCTACTCCAATCTGGTTCAAATATGCAAATAAAACACATTGCTCACAATGCAGAGGAGCCTTGGAAACACTATGCTAAGTGAGAGAAACCAAATACAAAGAGTCACACATTCTGTGATTCAATTTGCATGAAGTATATATAATAGACAAAAATCCATAAAAACTCTAAAGAGAGTTGAGGGTTGAGGAAGAATGAGGGGGTGTGATCAGGGAGTAAATATTAATGGGTTCTTGTTTCTTTTGGAAGTGATGGAAATGTCCTGGGAGTAAATAGTTATGATAGTTGCACAATTCTTTAGACATTACCAAAAACCACTAAATTATGTACTTTAAAGGAATGACTTTAATGGTATGCAGATTTCATCTCACTAAAACTGTTAATAAAGAAGAAAAGGCATTGACTCTATTCCAGAAAATGCTCCAAAAAATATAAACAATTTTATTAAAAGGAAATTTAATACACAAATGTATACATTCAACATGGTTATGCCATTTTACAAACACGTAACAGTTCTGTCTCTTAAGTCACAGTGTGCTCCAAGATGGTATTCTCTTGTTACCTCCTGTGAAAAAGTTTCAGGACAGGAAGCCCCTCAGACATGGGAATTCATCAAATAAATGCTCATGGAACTTGATTTTTCAGGGGGCACCAAAGCAAAGGAAAGGCTTCAAAGGGAAAGAGAAGGGGGAAGGAGGGAAACTATATATGAGGGAACCTTTGGAAACATCATAGAAGCTCACAGTTCCATTGTCGTAATCCAGAAACACTCCAATCCGACCCAGAGGCCTTTTCACAAACTGGATTAGGGTTGGGGAGCTGGTGGAAAGACTATAATGATTGTCTGTCTTCAGAGAAAACAGAAGAAATGCTTCTTCAGGGTGAAAACCAGTATCAGCATCGCTGGTAGAGGAATCTTTACAGACTCCCAAGATCCAGCTTGGCGAGTATGTGAGGTCCACCTCCCAGTAATGCCTACCGCAGGTGAAGACCTGAGGTCCTGGGGCTGCACAGCTCTCAGTACCCTGGGGCTCTCCAGATATGTCTCGTTGGGCGACTCCAAGCAATGTACTTCCAGGATCCTTAGAAAAGCGCATGTACTGATTGGTGGCTTCCTGAATCAGAACGTTATCCACTGCGGAGGCAAAATTGAGGTCAGCAAATGGGATTTCCATGTCCTGAGGGCCAGGGGCTCCCTACCCGCCAACTACACCCTTCATTACCCCTCCTCCAGGGAAACACAAAACAGAATAAAGAGAGTTCAGACTCTGAACTGTCTATGAAGAACAAGAGTTGTTACTACCTATCTCCAGCACACAGAAACCCTTCAATCATACAGAAAAAGGAAAGCATCCGGACATATTGTGAACTGGGAAGCAGTCATTGAATGTCAATCTGGATAATTTATTTCAGGACACACCTAGGTTTTTTTCTTTTACTTTACTTTTTTCTTTATTTTAGAAAAACTCTTCTTGTGTTTTTTGTCTTTAATACTATTTAATAAATAGCACTTAGCTATTATGTGGGTCTTCCCTGGGATATAACTAGTACCTGTTACATTTTTCAAATGTCAAAAATTTGATAGAAATCCACATATGCAAAATTTAGAACTTCTGAAAAGAATGTTCTGGTTTTACATTATCTGTTCACACCCCGGATTCAGTGGAATCCCAGTATCAGTTCTCTGCTGTCTAGACTTGCTCTCTACTGTAGGCCTACTATGGTTGAGCCCTGTTCACATATCCCATGCCTTTTCAGTGGTTTTGAGATTGATCTAATAACATTAAAATTATTCTGCCAATGGCAATTTTGGTCTTTCTCCATCAAAACTTTCCGAGTTTATAAGTAATAACTGTTCTTTGAACAATGCATGATAAATGCACTCAAATATGAATCAATTTAACAACCACCAATGCCACACCCAAAACTTTCAAGAATAGAATAAACCAAATAAATATACAAATATTGTTTGCTACTCTGAGAACTAAATATTCTATCTCTTCCTAACCACATGACCAACCTGATTGCTTTTCTCTTGCCCTATTTATGTCAGGTGTAACTAAAAATATGTGTCATGCTTTGCATTTTTGGCAAAGTATAAGTTGGAAAATTTAGTCTTGGTCATTGTTTTTTTTTAAGATTTTATTTATTTATTTATTTATGACAGACACAGAAAGAGAGAGAGGCAGAGACAAAGGCAGAGGGAGAAGCAGGCTCCATGCAGGGAGCCTGACGTGGGACTCGATCCTGGGACTCCAGGATCACACCCTGGGCTGAAGGTGGCGCTAAACTGCTGGGCCACTGGGGCTGCCCTAGTCTTGGTCATTGTAATATGACTATTAAGAGAAAAGAGATAATAATTTTGGAAAGTTAATATTACCTTCATATCAGGAAAAAATATATATTTTTTTTTAGGAAAAAATAAAATTAAAAGGCAAGTAGGCTCATTTCCAAGAACCAAGGATATGGAGGCCTGATTGCCAAAGCACTGTCTCTTACCTCTGAAGTTGTTCAGTACATCTAGGATTCCCGTGATGCTCTGTGGAGTGAGCTCTGGGTTCACTGGCTGAGGCTTTTGTACCTCCACCAATTCAGTCCTGTATAGAATGACATCAGTTATATTTCCGAGCCAAAGGTCAATCACACAACCATTAAAAAATTTCAGTTTTTAATCAAGGAGTTTTCATCAGAATTCTCTCATTTTAGTTAATTGGGTATACATTATATTCTACACCCTTGGGGATATAAGAAATGTGACTGTTTTTCTAAATTTCAATTCTATTGAATTCCAACTTCCCCATTCTTCTCAGATATTATTCCATTTCTAAAATCACTGAGAATCATCCCTTCCCTTTGCTCCAACCTCAGGTAAAGCAAAGATCCTTGGGGTCTTACAGAGAGCAGCATGTTCAGCTCAAGCCTTTGGAATTGCAGTGTGCAAGTAGTCGCCAATGATATATTCAGGAAAGCCCACTGAATCATGCAGATTTACTCTTTTCTATCCAGCAAGAGATTCTAATTCCAGCCTGGCAGCCTGGTCCTGAGGGCCTGAACCCCCAGTGAGCACCAGGAAGCCATCCCCTCTGAGGCCTTGCCTATAATGAGATGTGCTGTTTCTACTGCTGGGAACAAAATCATGACCCTTTCCCCATTCTTAGGGAATCTCCCTCTTTCCTGTCTTTTTCACATCCAAGTCTCTAGGGTAGGGACCTCTTCTGTGACATCTTAGAAAGATTCCTTCAGCAAGATTTCTTGTGATGAGGCTGGAGAGGATGGGGGAGAGGGGAGTGGATGGAACAAACCCCAGAATATCATGTGGTTTTTAAGTATATTTGAATCCAGCCACCTAAGAAGAAAACTTCTGAGACCAAGGTCTTCGGGCTTCTTTTAAAACACATAGAAAGTAGGAGTGCCTGGGGTAGCATAGTTGGTTAAGTGTCTGACTCCTGATTTCCACTCAGGTCATGATCTCAGGGTCCCAGTTTCCAGCCCCAAGGCAGGCTCCATGCTCAGCAGGAAGTCTACTTAAGATTCTCTCTCCCTCTGCCCCATCCCCTGCTCGCTCTCTCTCTCTAAAATAAATAAATCTTTCTAAAAAACTACAACAACAAACAGAAAGTAGCCACAAAGAATGATGTTAAGAGGTCAAAACATGTACATCCACTTTATCAACAAAAGATTTCATCAGCAATCAGAATTTATTAGGGCAAACTCACCTTTGCAATACATTTCCCAAGTCCTGCAAGGAAAAAAAAAAAGTAACATTAATCATGAGGGTTTTGTTCTTTTGTATCTTCTCTAGTATTCTTGTTCGTTTAAATAATGTATTTTTCCCTTATTCTCCTCTAAAGAACAATCAGAAACTACCTTCATAATAGAACCTACACTAGAGCATGACAGGCTTCCTCAGGATGTATTAAGGAAGGAGGGAGGTTAGGGATGTGTAGTGATGCATTATGATTTAGGTTTTCACTTCACTCATTGCCCATCGTATTCCTAAGAAGAAATCTGACATTTATGATAACAATGAAAGCAAAACAGAGAACTTAGATATTTAAAAAAAAATTGTAGAGTACATTGAAATTGATTACCAAATTCTACAATTCTTGCTTAAGCAAAAGATAAAATCTCAGTATCTTCGGCAAGATACTTCTGGGGCGGAGGGCGGGGGTAGAACAGAGAGTGACAATGGATTAGGAAACATAAATGGAGGATCACTGCAACAAAGCTGACCTTCCTTTGCTTACAGGTTTTTTTCTGATTTTGGATAGTTTATCTGCGTGGTTAGTACTCCTGATTATACAGCGATAATTTTATCCTAGGTGTTACTAAAAGATGAGCAAAAAATCTCCCGAAGATTACCAGGATATGAGGAAATAAATGGTTGGAGAAACATAATGATGCAAGTCAATGAGCATTATCACTTAGCTGAGAGTAACGGTATATGTGGGCAACATTTCAATGTCATGGCAACATTGCCCAAAAAAGCATTCCTGCCTCTGAGGATGGACTCTCCCTTCTCACCTGGAGTAGCTCCATGTCAGGCTTGTGGCACATCTCAGTCAGCTCTCTGTACATCTCTTTCAGGCTCTCTTTCTGTTGGGTCATTCTGAATTCACTTTCCTTGAGTTGTCGGAAAATCTCCTTTGCTTCTTTCGCCACTGTCTCCAGATGGAGTTGTTCTTCCTCATGGAGAAATAGATGTATCTTCTGATATTCTGCTTTGATCATCACCTTCCTTAAGGCCACATAGTCCTGAAGAGATAGTGGATGTAAAGGGTTACATATCCTCACTCTCAACAGAGAGTACTGTTTCCTTAGTGTCATCAAGAAAGTGCTTGACAAACTTTGTGCCTCACATCTCCAAGTGTCTTGGATATTTGCTGGTCCTTTCTGACCACCCTGTCTCTATGTTCTTAGACTCCTTTCCTGTTTGAATCAAGCCCTCTAAGGAGTCCCAGTATCTGTCTCTCTGTGATGCTCTGTTAATTATTTCCTTTCTTCCTGGAACCTCTTTTTTTCTTTTGTTCTTTTGCCTGATTTTTCTAAAAATTTAAAAATATTTTTGTATATACCATATTTTATAGATTTTTAAGTAATTCTCTACCTTTCCTCTAGGTACTATCCTATTGCTCTCCTCTGTTTCACATCAAATGTATGATGATGTTTTCTTAAACCCAGTGTCTGAAAAGGTCCATCCAAACTTTCAAGGTTGGACCTATCATAGCCTAGTTAACTCATATGCTAGCATTCTTTGCACCAGCTTTTATTGGCCTGTATATTTGTGGTTATTGATATATCATTTGAAACTACTACTTTTTCCTGGAAAAAAAAAACATTATCTTTATTTTGTAACTTAAATTAAGCTAAAAGTCTCAACTAGCATTATATCAATCTGCATAAGAACAGAACATTTTCATTCTTACCTCAAATGACTCTATTTTGCTAACTTCTTGATTCAGATTGTTTTGCATTTCCTGAGTCATATTCCATAAAGAGCCCATTCTCTTCAGAAGTTTCTCCTGCAAGATAACCATGAGCTTTAACAACACAGAAAATGATATTATAGATCTCATTTCCTTACCTATGGGAAAAGGTAGTGGGTGAGAAAACTGTAATCTTGAGTTACCATGGAGTGGTCAGATTTCTTTCCATTAATCTAATTTGATTCCAACATTTGGGAAATCAGAGATGACAAACATAGTAGAGATTTGCGGGCACTCTGTAGATAATATAATCCATTTCCTGATAAATTAGTGCTCAGAATTTTATATAACCTGACTATGAAGGAATCAAGCTTGCATCAGAAGCCACTGTTCCTGGTACTAGCCACCTGCCCCACAATGGCATCACCTGCACATATTTGGACAATGTTTCTAAGGACATGCTTGAGGCTACTTGCTAGAGGCTCAACATAGCTAAGATTATAGCATCAAAATTGGTCAACAGCAGGGTGTCTGGGTGACTCAGTCGGTTAAGCTTCTGCCTTCAGCTCAGGTCGTGATCCCAGGAACTTGAGATCGAGCCCCATGTTGGGCTTTCTGCTCAGGGGAAGCCTGCTTTTCCCTTTTCTCCTCACTTATACTCTCTCTTTCTCAAATAAATAAAATATTTTAAAAATTGGTCAACAGCATTGAAAGGATGCATGTACATCTTGGTACTTCTATTGAAAAATCACCTCCTCTGCCATTTCCACTCACATCAACTTTCTTATCACTTTCTTCATCTTTTTCTCTGATTTAGAAGCCTAGAAGATTCCAAATTGCTTTAGAGGCTTCACTTACCCTGTATTCCTCAGCAGCCCACTGTACTGAACAGTGGCTATGAGTCACGTGTTCTGGTGATTCAGAGCAGGACACGCAGAGCAGGCGCTTGTCAGCCTCACAGAAGAGCCCCTTTGATTCTTTGTGCACCACACAAATCTGCTCCACGAAGCTGTTGACATGGTAAGCTCTGGCATGCCTGGCAAGGGAAGCCAGTTTCTTGAGTGTAATATTCGTTTTGAAATCTGACTTCTGTGAAATTCCCCTGCATTCAGGGCAATACGTTGGGGTTTGGGCTTCCTCCCAGCAGAGGCGCAGGCAGGGACTGCAAAAGCTGTGCCCACAGTCAATGGTGACAGGATCCAAGTAGTAGTTCATACAGATGGAGCAGATGAGTTCATTCTGAAAGGCTTGCAAGGTGTCCAAATCCATGTTTCTGTAAATTAAAAAAAAAAAAAAAAAAAAAAAAAAACAGAAGAAAAAGAGAAAGTCATTCTTCTGCCCCAATAAGGAAAAGAAAAAAGCCTATTTAGACTAAAGCTTGTCTGCTTGAACTCTATCTAATTACCTACCAATTTAACCCCAATACAAATGAGGCATGGTAAGTATAGAAGCTTAGGCTTATGCTGTGAAACAAATGAGAAAATGGGACAAGAACATCTTCACCATCCTTTTTGTTTCAAATAGACCATGCTCTCAATCAGAATTAAACTACATGGACAAACTTAAAGATTGGGGAGAGTCAAAGTTAGGATGATTTCAGAATTACATTTCTTAGCTCATCAGTCCAGAAGCACATACAGAATCTCAAGCTCTCCGTCTAGCTCCATAAGGCCACAACTTCAACACACACACACACACACACACACACACACACACACACGGACTTCATCTTTATGTTAATAGCCTCCATGCATCCTGTCTCCAAACTGACAAGTGCTCTCTTCTAAAGATAAAATTGATTAATTTAAGTTTGTTTAGCTTGATCAGTATTAACTTCACCTTTGACTTCTGAAACTATAATCAGTTGAATTTATGCTTCTAACTTTAATAACAAAACTCTTCCTTTCAGGAAATAAAGTATAAAAATTGTCTTTTGTCTCTAGTTCAGGAAATAATTTTTCCTAGAGTCAATTCAGATCATCGGAGCATCTTCATATCTTGAACTGGTGAATGTTCAAGCTACAGTACTAATTAGCAACAACTAATCTTTTTTTTTTTTTCAAACAAAAAAGAGAATAAGCACTGGGATTTCCTTACTGCACTAAATACAGTTAATGAAGTTAATGATGCAGTTAAATGAAGCATGATCAATTCATCTTTTTCATATTTCCCTGTGGTGACCAACGCCACTTCTTGGGAGTCCTTACCGGTTTGTTGGCTCTATTTTGAACACTTTTCAAATAGTTTGCAAACTGAAGGGGGAGGGATAGTAAATAGACTTTTACAACAAGAGTCTTCTAATTCATTCAGCACACTAAACTTAGGTTGATGGGTGTAGAGACTATTACATGCATACATTATGTTGAATATTTCAGGCACTTTATGGGTTTCATAACTGCATAAAAACTGCAGAAATCTCATGGTGCCAAGGTGATTCAGTCAGTTAAGCCTCCACAACTATTGATTTTGGCTCAAGTCATGGTCTCAGAATCTTGGGATCAAGCCCCCATCAAGCCACACACTCAGCATGGGGTTTGCTCATCCATCTCACTCTGCTTCTCCTCCTGCTTTCTCTCATTCTTTCTCTCTTTCAAATAACTAACTAACTAACTAAATAAATAAATAAATAAAATCTTTTTTAAAAATCTGCAGAAATGTCTAGGACCTAAAAAACTTTTTAGCAACACAAAAGGTAATAGAATAAAAAACAATCAACTCAATATAACAAATAGTATATTAAAAATGCTCTAATTACAGATATTTTAAATGTTGATGCCATTTTAAATAACTAGGAAAACTATTTCTTTGCTGGGACAAGACCCAAGCAAGACACAGCTAAATTGAAAGTATTTGTATAAGAGAAAGTAGGCATGAAAATATTCACTGTAAATTCCATACTCACTGGCCTGTGTGGAAGGTTTGGAAGGTTTGGAAGGTCTGTGGATCTCAGGGGTCAGTAGGGACTCTGCTCTCCAAAGCCTGGCAACTGCAAGTTCAGTCTATCCCAGGGAAGAAGTCCTCTCTGGATGAATGCGCTTTTTATATGATGAGGCTTGCCTAAGGTCACACCTACTTCTTGAGATTGGCTGTTGTCTTCAAAAAGGAGCGGAAGTGGCTGATTAGGTTAAGTGGGAAGGTATTAAAATGGCTACTTAGAGTTTATAGAGAACAACACGTGAGCGCTAATGTCCTCACAATCTGGACTTGCTTTGGGATATGATGGAAGAAGTTGACTTCACACAGGTCATTCAAAAAGACACTTTAACTGAAGCAATTACTTCATTAAGTGATTTTTTACTCAACAAGCTTTAAATTCACAATTTTTAAAATTTGTTTTCTTACTCTTTATTTATATTTTAAAATATTTTATTTATCTAAGAGAGACAGAGAGCAAGAGTCGGGGGAGTGGGAGGAGGGAGAGAGAGAAGCAGACTCCCTACTGAGCAGGGACCCCCCTCCTCCAATGAAGTGGGGCTTGATTCCAGGACCCAGGATCATGGCCTGAGCCTCAGGCAGATATTTAACCAATTGAACCACCCAGGTTCCCTGTTACTCTCCTTTTTAAATTTATAATTGCTAATTAAGCTCTAACTATTGTTTATCTGAGTATGTCAAGACAATAAACATTAAATGGAAAACCCCACATATCTATATTGTGCGACTTTCTCATAAAAAATAAAAAGCTCAGTTGGTTAAGTGTCTGACTCTCATATCAGCTCAGGTCATGATCTCAGGGTCATAGGATCAAGCCCTGCAGGGCTCCACACTAAGTACCGAGTTGGCTTGGGATTCCTTCTCTCTCTCTCTTCCTCTTCCCCCACTCATGCATGCACCCTTGTCTCTCTAAAATAAATAAAATCTTTAAAAAAATAAAATAAGAGATAAGAATGAAAAAGTGCATCTAGGCACTTAATTGGGTTTTAAATAATTGTATATATAACTCTGCTAGTTTTATATAGTTGTATATATACATTAGCTAGTTTTTCTTACTGTCAATATTTGATGACTTTTTTGAAATGACTGGTTCATGTAAAAATAAAATCTATTGGGGATCCTGGGTGGTTCAGCGGTTTAGCGCCTGCCTTCTGCCCAGGGTGTGATCCTGGAGTCCTGGGATTGGGTCCCACATCGGGCTTCCTGCATGGAGCCTGCTTCTCCCTCTGCCTCTCTCTCTCTCTCTCTCTCTCTCTCTCTCTCTCTCTCTCTTTCTCTCTCTCTCTGTGTGTGTGTGTCTCATGAATAAATAAATAAAATCTTAAAAAATAAAATAAAATCTATTTTGCAGATTCTTGTATCTTGGCAAATAATTTTAAACAAAATTCTTTATATATATGAGATATATCTCCATGTATGTACTTGTATTATATTATATGTGATAATACTTATCTACACAAAAATTATGTGCACAATTATCTTTAATGAAATGCGCACAGAAAATCATTTTTAATTGAAGTATAATTGACATATAACATTATATTAGTTTCAAAAAAACACATTATATTAGTTTCAAGTGTTACCATATAATTTGATGTTTATATATATTACAAAATGAATAGTTAACATCCAGCAACATACACAGTTACAAAATTTTTTCTCATAGTGAGAACTTTTTTGTTTCAAATTTTTATTTAAATTCTAATTGGTTAACATATAGTGTAATACTGGCTTCAGGAGAAGAATTTAGTGATTCATCACCTACATATAATGACCAGTGCTCATCACACATGCCTTCCTTAATCCCCATCACCATAACCTATCCCCTCCCCTATCTCCCTCCAGCAACCCTCAATTTGTTGTTCACAGTTAAGAATCTCTGGTGGTTTGCTTCCCTGTATCTCTTTTTTTTTCCTTCCCATATGTTCATCTGTTTTGTTTCTTAAATTCCACATGAGTGAGATCATATGATATTTGTCTTTCTCTGACAGACCTATTTTGCTTAACATAATACATTCTAGCTCCATCCACATTGTTGCAAATGGCAAGATTTCATTCTCTTTGATGACAGAGTAATATCCCATATATATTTATACAATATCTTCTTTATCCATTTCATGGTGAGAACTTTTTTAAAAAGATTTATTTATTTTTTTATTCATGGACAATACAGAAAAAGAGGCAGAGACATTGGCAGAGGGATAGGCAGGCTCCCTTTGGGGAGCCCACTCAGGACTCGATCCCAGGACCCTGGGATCACCACCTGAGCCAAAGACAGATGCTCAACCACTGAGCCACCCAGGTGCCCCTCATGACAAGAACTTTTAAGATCTCTTTTATCAACTTTCAAATTTGCAACACAGTATTATTAACTATAGTCACCATGCTGTACATGCTGTAGAAAATTATTTTTAACAGAACTGCCATACTACCTATATTTTGATACCTATCACAGTTCAACAAGTCATAACTGCTTATGTACAAGTTGTCTCACTAAATGACCTAATGCTTAGGGATTTAGGGTCTATTTTTATAAACATTTGAAAATAATCTAACCTTACTAGAAATTTAAAAAGTGAAAATCTAGATAAAAATCACCTTTTAAAAGTTATCAAGTTGAAAAATTAAAGATAAAAGCCATAAAAGCTAGATATCCTAGGAAGAGGTAAAATATTTGTCCTCTTCCTGAATGCATTGGGTTATAAATTAATAAAAGTTTCAGAAGCATCATTTGACCAGCAATTATGCTTCAAAATGTATTCTAAGGAAATTAAGTATTACTTAGTATATACTATTATATACCATTAGGGTATATGTTAGTAACATATAGATAGATAGATAGATAGATAGATAGATAGATAGATAGATAGATATAGATATGTATATGAGGACTTTTCCAGAAATTTTAATTCTGGGTAAATTGCCTCAAACATTTCTTAACAGGTTGCATGTCATCTACATAAGTATAGAGAGGAAGGAGATTCTAGTATTCTCATTTTTTCAGTAAAAATTAAATAGTTATGTGTACAGGATATCCCATATAATGCTGTTAAATGGTGCTCTTCCATATAGGGATTTGTCAACCATTTGCTTGCACCATCATTTCCAGAATTTGAGATTTCTTTATATAAAAGTCCTCTAAACTAGGCTCTGTGATCTCGTCCCTATCTCAAGTAATAAATATAGTAATGAAACAGTTGCTATTCTTCGTAAGTTTTACTGAGCACCATAGCAACTTCTCAATTCCCTTCCAGCAAATCTAATTTTCAAAAGTAAATTAGGCAAAACCCCTAGAATCTGGAGACTCTAAGTTAGTAGGAAAGGTGAAGACATATATAGAGAGAGAAATAAGAAAGTCCTAGCATCTCGAGTACGAGGGAAATCTGCTGTGCACAACTGGGGAATAAAACAAAGAGCAGCTCACTGAACCTGACATTCCTTCCCCCTCACCTTTCTGTGGGAAGAGCCCCCTGAAAAACATTGATTAAGAAGGCTTGAGTTCCCTGCTGTGGCCAATACTAAGCCTGCCAAAAAGTAGAATATATCTCCTACTTGCCATGGACTAATTCTTGAACATTTGCCAGATGTGGATTCACCAAGCTTTATGGGTTTAGCTTGATAAAAACCCAATAGGAACATAAATCTAAAAATAGATTGTTGAGAGCCAGTATCTTTTGGCTAAGGAAATGCTAATATCACAAATATCAGGCCCTTTGGAAATAAAAAACAGACCAAATAATAATTTCAAAAGAACATGAATAATTTATTATGTTTAGAGATTCCCACAAAGAATAGTTTGCACTGGGAAGGTTAAAAAGGACATTCAGCTCATTCACGTCACATGGCAGGGCCAGGATAGGGCGTGGATACTGTGAGAAGCCAAGGCCCAGGCAATAACACATCCATCTGGACTGTAACATGGATTGCAACGTGACTGGTGTCAGGCTCACCAGATTCTGGCACCTGAAATTCATGGGTGGTACAGCCCAACTTTGCTACTAACAAACACTAATAAATTCCAATGTTGACATCGGTGTGGTTGGTGGGAAGAGTTGGTGAGTCTTTTCACCAGAAGGTGATCAAGAAGTTATAAAACTGTGGTCAGTATTACATGGGCAATTAGAAATAGATGTGAACATTTATATGGGAAAAACAGCCTAAATTAGGCCAACCTGGTCATCTGCTTTTCAACCAATAGGGACAACTTTTGGCCGGAATATTTAGGACCAACCCAGCCTGTAAAGCCAGGTATCAGCTTGGCGTTAACAGTAATGCTGCATAGCAAGAACCCAAATGCAGCAGCTACGAGCATCGTTAGAACTGGATCTCAAATGAACATTTGAAAGTATTTTATAGCATAGGTTCCTTCAGAACATATTGTATTATAGTACATTTTCTGATACATCTGGGATGCAAGTACTGCTAACTAGGACTGCTAACTGATTTAAAAGTAAATTAGGTTGGTTTGGAGGTTGGTTAGGTTGGTTGAGCAGCCAACTCTTGGTTGCAACTCAGGTCATGATCTCAGGGTCTTGAGACTGAGCCCCGAGTTGGACTCCATGCGGAGCTTGGAGCCTGCTTGAGATTCTCTCCCTCTAGCCCTCCCCACGTCCCCCCTTGCTGTTTCTCTTTCTCTTAATAGATGTGTTACACTTTTACTAGAAGATTAGGTTATTGTAGCTGTAAACACAAATTCAGGCTATTCTGGTTGGATTTACATAATCACCTAATCCCTTAAGGAAACATCAACAAATCTACCTGATGGTGGAAGATACTTACATCAGTGTGTTTGATGTCATTTGATTTTACATTTTCAAGCCCACATAGGATGACTTCACATATGCTTTTCAGTGACGATTCTAAAGTCAAAATACGTTAACTACAATAGGACTCTTGCATGAATTTTTTTTTAAAAAGAAACTAGTTTTTAGAGCAATTTTAGGTTCACAGCAAAACTAAGGGGACAGTGTGGAGATTTTCCGTGTACTCTTTGCCCCTACACATGCACAATCTCCCCCATTATCAACATCTC